ACCATATAATATTTCATGGTACAAATTATTATTATTATCATCAGTCATCACCGCCACCTTAAACATACCACCTACACAAACACCAAGAACTCAAAAGCCCATTTCCCTATGTCAACTCCTACAACATGCAACCACCAACAAAACGCCTACTACTCACGGCGGCGCTGCTACTAACATGCGCCATGTGCACATTCTCAGCCAAAAACTGCCCCAACTGTGGCACCACCCCCGTCCCCTACCCATTTAGCACTGACCCAACATGCGGCGATCCGCAATACCAAATAAGGTGCAACTCAGGCACCCTCTTGTTTGATACACTCAACACCTCATATCCAATCATATCCATAAATCCATCAATCCAACGACTGGTGATCCAACCAGCCAGTCTCGTACCAAACACCTGCGTCACATCCGATTACGTCTATGAAGGTATCCTCTTAAACGATAGCTTACCTTTTAACATCACCGGTGATAACACCATCATGTATTTAAACTGCACGGAGTCGTTGCTTCGATCACCGTTGAATTGTTCCTCAGCCAGCTTGTGCCACGTTTTCGTTAACAGTACCAGAGGGGAGGCTCCTTGTCAAGCTGCTCCTATTTGTTGTACTTTTAGGGCAGGTGGGTCAACAACGGCGCATAGGATCAGGGTAAGAGAAACTGGGTGCAGGGCCTACACTAGTTTTGTTAATTTGGATCTGAATTCGCCCGTGGATAAGTGGCCTAACCCTGGATTGGCAATCGAGTGGGAGCTGCCTCAGGAACCAGTTTGCGGGTCGCAGGTGGATTGTGATAGGAATTCAACTTGTGGACCTGATCCAAATTTGAGTGGGGTCAGGAGGTGTTATTGTACAAGTGGACTTCTGTGGGACCCTATCCATGGAATTTGTGCTCAAAGTAAGTTTGCTTTTGTCTTGTAAGTAAGACTGGATTGTGTTCTAGAAACCTCAAGTCTAGTTTTGAAAAGTTAATGTTTTTTGATTGGTGGAATGTGGAATTGGAATTTTGTGCAGATGCCAGGTGTGAAAGTGGTGGGAGTTGTGGTGGATCAACAAAGACTGCTCTCATTGCTGGTATTTCTCTAGAAAAGAGCCCTCAATCTCTGATATCATTATCATTTCAAGATGATTAGTTACTATAATCTCTAATTACAGAATAATCGTCTCACAAAAATTTCAATAAAATCCAATAAGTGAAGATCTTTAAGAAGCTACTAGCGGAAATAAATTTCTGTAAAATTACTTAGTTTTGAATTACTTTCACCTGCTAACACAACTTGCAGCTTTTTTTTTACTTTGATTTACGTATTGCTATTGACTTTCTTCCTTTTTTTATATTTTTTTCCCCTTTTCTCCTCTTTTTTTCTTGATTGATTAGGCTATTACCTGACACGATTAGCTGTATAATGCAAATGAAAAGAACTTTCAAAAGCATACGTTACTCTACCACATGTATAATTCGGTTTGGTTTGAATTTTTTTTCCTTTCCAGAAAGGCCATATCATTAGAGGAAAAGTATCTAATTTTATCATTTCTGAGCTGTCTTTTCCTATTCTGATTTTTTATTTGATTAACACCCTGCAGTGCTCTAAGTCCTAAGTACTACATTGTTATCTTATTAAAAAAAAAAAAAAAGAACAGTACTGCTAGTGGATCAAAAGTCAAAACAGCACATTGGACCACATAGTCTGTGTCGCTATAGTCAAATATGGTCTTATTGGCAGTGGCGGAGCCAAAGGCGCTGCAGAGGCCGCCGCCCTATCCTCAAATATCCAAAAAAACTCCTTAAAAATTATAACTGTTATGTTTTGGTCCATTTTCACTTCATCCTTTCCACACTTGCCGCCACCAGCAAAAAATTATATTTGGGTATACTTGTCGCCCAACCCTCCTGCAAAAAATATATAATAAATAAAAAATTCTTGGCTCCGCCACCGTTTAGAAGGATGGAAGGCACCAGTTTCTTTACTTTTCAACCGGTAGGATTTTACGGAGGCCTTGTGATCCATCCCACGAATTCTTTCAGCACTTGACCTGCAAAATAAAACCTTCCGACTCCACTCCTACGTGTAGGGAAATTTCTCTTTCTCGTCAGATTAACATTACGTAGCTTCATACCACTGTCATAACAATTTTTGAGGGACTTGGGCACAAATTATAGGAGCTACTTGATCATAAACAAAAACAATAAGGAAATGAAAGCTATAACCAATATGGGGCTTAGATTGATTCAAAGCATTAAAACATCAATATACATAACTTCTGAACTGCTGCTGATATGACATAAAGAATCCATAGAGGTTCCAGTGTGACAACTGACAATGGCTTCCAATGTAGGGTGGATGAAGATCTCAAGATGCAATTTTTTGTTTTATTTGTCTGCTCTGCTCATTGTAATTGCTATTGCTAAAGAGCATTCTCTCCTCTCTCTTATATATGTCTAACTAAACCCAAAAAATTTCTCTAGGTTTAACATCTGGGATTGGTGCAACTCTTTTGGTAATCGCCATTGGTGTCCTGCTCTACAAACGCCACAGACGCATCAAAGAGGCTCGAGAACGTCTGGCTAGAGAACGTGAAGATATCCTGAATGCCGGTGGAAGCAGAGCAGCAAAAATCTTCACAGGCAAACAGATAAAGAAAGCAACAAACAGTTTCTCTAAAGATCGCCTATTAGGAGCCGGCGGCTATGGTGAAGTTTATAAAGGCATTCTTGATGATGGCACAGTAGTAGCTGTCAAGTGTGCCAAGCTTGGAAACACCAAAGGAACTGACCAAGTGCTCAATGAGGTTCGAATTCTATGCCAAGTCAATCATAAAAGCCTTGTATCCTTGCTTGGTTGCTGTGTCGAGCTTCAGCAACCTATACTGGTTTATGAGTACATTCAAAATGGAAATCTTCTTGATCATTTACAAGGTGTAAAAGCTGGCAAAATCCAACTGTCTTGGTTACATCGCCTCCAGATTGCGCATGGTACTGCCGATGGTCTTGCTTACCTCCATTTCTCAGCTGTTCCTCCAATATATCATCGAGACGTCAAGTCAAGCAATATACTTCTTGATGAGAAACTGAATGCCAAAGTTTCAGATTTCGGATTGTCAAGGTTAGCTCATAGTGACTTGAGTCACATATCAACCTGTGCCCAAGGTACACTTGGGTATCTAGACCCCGAGTATTACAGGAAATATCAATTGACTGATAAAAGCGATGTTTATAGTTTTGGGGTTGTGCTGTTAGAGCTATTGACTTCTCAGAAGGCAATAGATTTCACTAGACCAGAAGATGATGTAAACTTGGCAGTCTATATGCAGAGGATGGTGGAAGAGGAAAAGCTAATGGATGTAATAGACCCGAAGCTAAAAGAGAAGGCAAGCACTATGCAGCTTGAGACTGTAAAGGCATTGGCATTTCTGGCATTGAGTTGCATAGAGGAAAAGAGACAGAACAGGCCTTCTATGAAAGAAGTTGCTGAGGAAATTGAGTATATTATGACCATTCCAACAGCAAGGGAGGTTGAAAACTAGCTTGGAATATGCAGAGAACATTCGAAGGCCGGTTGGGGTCTCTAGTATGGGGATTAAGGTTTCGACTTATCAGAATATGATGTGCTTTTGGAATTGATATTACTATAGCTAGCTTGAGTTTGAGTAGCGCTTTGTCCTGTATGTATATATGGATGTAACGTGTTTATTATTGCAATAAGAAGTGATCATGAAAATACATGCATCCTTGATCTTTAAAAAAAAAAAAAAGAAGAAGAAGCGGAAATGGATGATGGCAGATCCCAAAGCATCAAAAAGATTGCTATTGTAGTGAGATCCTTAATTAGGTTGAATTATACAAAATTAGTTCTTGTTCTATATGCATTTCTAGCTTGCCTTTTGTTCATCAACTAACCAAATTGATTGATTTTTTTCATGATGAGCTATTAGCTTTCTTTCTTAAGTAAAAGGTCTTCTAAAGTAGATAAATTTAATAAATTCTTAATTATCCTAGCAACAAAAATTGATCAAAGCCTCCTGTAATTATATGCTCCCTCCCCGGTTTCTTCTGAACTAGACTTTTACTACAATTCTTTGTTTTGGTTGGTTTGTACTCTTTATGTTGAATCAACATGTCCATTTCATTGTTAACCGAAACAAGAACGTGCCCATTGCATGTTCAGATGGAGAGTGAGTTCATAACCATATTACTGTTCCATCACTTACAACTCATATCCTTAACAATTAACGTGCAATACGTATTATTCCTGGAGATCCTACTGACCATTCAAAAATAAATTAATTTTAATATCACATAACCATCTTTTTCTAATAAATTAGATGAAGTATCGAGTTTCTTAAATCAACGTATTTTTTACGAATTTGCATGGCAATATTCGACGCCAAGTAAAGAAAAGCGAGGAAAAAAAAGACCAGCCGACTTCTGTTGATAGATTCGAGCCAATCCAATCAGGAGTGGTAGCCCGGCCCAATTGCTTTTGACCAGTGTTCCCCGGTTAGTAATCCTTTTCCTCAAATAGTCATGGATAGAAAAAGAACTGTGCGAAGTGCAGCAGTTAGCTAAACAAATACCAGATAGACCATAACTCAAAAACAATTACAACAACAGCACAGAAAAGATAATTGGTGCCAGGATGCTTTAATAGTTGACATAAAAGTGGCATGAATATAAACAATCTTATTTCCTATTTCTCGTTGAATATCTGACTCGAATATATGTTGAGATCACACTGTCGATAAACAGGCATATGGAAGGTCATTTGCTCTTCAGCACTTTGTTCAAAAATTTACTCTTCAGCAGTTTATAAAGTAGTCCAAGGAGCAAATATAACAGCCAGCAAAAAAAAAAACATCAAAAAATCCAGTCATGAACATCAAACGATTCTATCTGATAATAAAACCCCAAGGTTTGAAGAACAACAAGCACTCTTCAGGAAGACAAGGTAGGAAGCCTAGAACCATGCTTACCAGAAGAAATGCATAGCATCTCTAAACAATCTAGTTTGATCTGGGTGTGGCCCATTCGACTCGAAGGATTAGATTGTCATAGCCATATCCGTTGAGCTTGTTTATTGCCCTCTCAGCATCTTCCTTGTTTACAAAGTTCACAAAACCAAAGCCCCTGCTGACACCAGTCTTCTGGTCAATAGCAACATAAACACGACTCACAGGGCCAAATGTGCGGAATAGTTCAAGCAAGTCAGGCTCCCTAGTGTCCTCTGATAAATTAGTAACCCGAACTGAATTTTCTTCATTCCTGCGCCTCATATCTGATCCACCAGTTCTCTCTGCACCCGCCCTCATGCTTGGCGGGACATAAGCACCCTTGGTGGCTCCAGAGGCAGCCATAGCTGTCTCCGTTGCAGCAGGTTTTTCAATAAAGGTTTCAGTCGGTTGAGCAAGATCCTTGTATGGGCATCGTGATGTCCAGTGATCACCTTTCTTACCACAAGTTCTGCATACCATGAGAACAGCCCCTCCTTTACCTAGCTGAGCCAAGTTATCTCCAGCTATCTTGGTTTCTTCTGCTTTGGCACCTGTTGGCATGTCAAGGCATTATTAAATGAAAATCCAACAAACCATAGATTCTTGAAAGAGATAATCATCCACAGAAAGACCGCAGGTATAGTCTAGAAGAAGCTAAAAAACAGATGTGAAATTTTCCAAACAACACAACTATTACTCTATAAAATTTATTGAAGACAAAAGCAATGCTTTTTCTTCGTAATTGAAGTATTCAAATGATACCCAGAATATCTATCACTAACGGAGGGTAATGTCATCAGCTCAGTCTCGAAACTATAACACGCATTATACGCACTAAATCCAAATGTGAAGGCCACGACAGCTAGTCTATCGGGATGGAACCAGAACAGCGATAGATCCACATATGCATTACACAAAATTTAAAGCCCACGGCCTTTAAAAATAACTAGACTCTAGCAAAAACAGGAAATTAACAACTTCAAGCAGCATCACACTGCAATGAATAAACTCAGCAAGAGAATTTTGCAGAAATTAAGCCAAACATATATAAAAACATGTACTGAAATTACTGTAAAAAGGAAACCAATAGATTGAGCAATTAATATCCATGCTAATACCGCAAAAGACAAAAAAACAAAGAAATAGAAATACCATGAGCCCTTGGCCTTTCAAGCATGATCTCTTCAGTAGAAACCATAGTAAGCCTGCTCCCTGCATCCTCATGAACCGCATCTCCAAACTTAGCCCAGTTTCGCCTCTCCACAGCCCGCTTGCTCAGCCGCGCCTTAGCGAGCTTGCGAACTCGTGTGGTTGTCGTAATTTTAACCTTATTACCGTCGTCGTTGAATTTATACTCGATCACTTTCTTGATCCCGTTGTCATCGGGCCCAATCACTTGTCTGGGAGGTAATAGAAAGTCTAGATCTTCGCCGTCCTCCTCGTCTAGCTCTCCCCAACGCATCTTTGTTGGCTTCCCTGATTTGTCTAACGACATGGTTCAGGAATATTTCTGGTGGCCGTCGGGGCTTAACTGGAGATGGGGCGTTGCGTTTGTTTGTGTGTAGAAGAGAATCGAAGGAAGTAGGGTTTGGGTTTGGTTTTTGATAATGTTTTCTTCGGGCGGTTATGCGATTGCTGAGCGAAAGGCTGTCGTTTTATTGTGATTGGCGCTGTGAGATGGACTAGTTACAGCACCAAAAGGAAATTGGGAATGGTTCTTGCTTATTAGGCCTTGTTATTACCATTTCTTTTGAATATGGGCCTAAAATTCACCAGCCTTCTCTTCAAATTGACAGGCGAGGTGTCTAAGATCTGGGCTTCGAGTATGAGAAGATAGATAAGATTTAGCCCATCGTGAGTGATTGTAGAATGAATGAAAGACTGTTTGTTTCGTTAAAAAAAAAAACTTTTAAAAATGTCTTATATCACAAAAATACAAATAGTTTACATATGGGTCTTAATTAAGCCATGTATTATTTTGATTCTTGTTTCTTTTTTTCACTTATATCAGTTAAAATGCTTCTTTTTACCAATAAAAGTATTCATATTTTCAAATTTCAAGTAATTTATTTTATTTTTTAAAAAAAATGAATTTAGTTCATGTATTAATAATTATTATTCAAAAAGTAAAATAATAAATTATCAAATAATTAAATAATTTTAATCTAACAGTGCAACAAAGCACATCACAGTAATCATAATGGGAAACAAGTTTTTGAATCTTCTTATTTAAATACCAATCGAAAAAAAGAATTAAAATTAGATTTAAAAAAATTGGTGTGCATAATTAGGTGGAATCTAATAATCTATATGCATCAATCTCGTTTCATTGTAGAAAAAAAAATTCCATTAATCTAATTAAATTGCTTTCCATGTTCCTTGTTTTTTTTAGTTTTTCTTTTGATATGGGTTCTGACTTAGGGCTTGACTGATGGATATGGACCGAAACGTATCATCAAACATTACCCAATCGGCATCGTAAGAGGCTTGATTCACTATTCTGGGCTTCCAGGACAAGAAATTCTCTACGCCAGAGTGATTAAGTTTTGTCTATTAGATTTTCCAGGCTGCTTTCCTATTCAATGCTTCACGGGAAATTTTTCTTTGATTTGGGTGAGAATGTATTGAGAGATTTCTAGAAACGTGGTTAAGATATTAAATCAATCGTAATCTGGATCAATATGGTGCAACCCGTAATTGGTGAGATAATACCGTGAAACAATAGTTGCAAGGCATAGCAGTGGGGTTCAACCATCCTACAGTCAGTTTCAGGAATCATCACCTACTTTTCGCACAAGCAAGAATTGATGATGGGCCACCTTTCTAATCTGACTTAAACAGTATGGTTCTTGTAAGCAGTCAGACATGGCTTTAGAAGCCGAGAATCTGATTCTAACCACACAATCAACTTCTTCTTCTTCTTCTTCTTCTTCTTCTTCTTTTTCCCATATTAATTCACAATCAAGCTGTATTATCTAACAAATTTCTTAAGAACTTTAGTTTTAAGGGAAATAAAAAAAAAGGCCATATGATGATATGATATTCAAATTTATTTAATTTTTGCTCCACATTAATCCTCCTGAAAGAAAAGATTCCATTATAATTCTAATACACATGCGGCATTCTGGGAAGCAATTTTATATGCTAAATCACCGAGGAACAGAACACCAACGACAGTGAAAGAAAGGGGTTGTCCCATCAGTTTCCTTGAACAAGCAAGAGTTGACAACCTTTGCTTATGTGATAACCCAAGTTTAAGAAGAGTACATAATTTAGAAAATTGTCATGATGGGGTTACATAATCATCCGCCCATACATACATGTATTTTAAGGAGGTAGGTATAATGGTAGGGCAGTGACATGGACAGCGTGAAATATCTATATACTAACGATTCAATTATGAATATGAATAATCGTGTTAAGTTGTTGAGTCGCTAATCATTCAGGTTGAGATGATTTATAAATATAAGGTCATCACAGAGAAGCAAAGAGTTTATGATAGATCAAAGCTGGCTTCTAATCGATTAAAGGCTATAACTTTCTTAGCCATATAAAGGGAGAGCAAGGCTGAAGAGAGAGGGACCGGTGTTGCATTTTGTTCCTCATGTTTTGCAGATGAGAAGGGCAATATAAGGACGCTTTTTGGTCCTGGAGTTTCGCCAATTAATTAGAAGCCAAGTTGGGTTTCTGAATCTTAAAGAGTCGTGGGTCAAACTCAAGAATGCTAATTAGTTAGTGGCGGATGACCAAAGGATTTGATGCTACTTTAGTTAGAGATAGAAGCCAAAACTAAATCTGGTATAATAACACAGAGAAAACAAACCCATATTTTTCTAGCTTGAGGCCGTTTGGCAAAGGAAGACATAATTCTAACTTCAGCATCACAAAAAGAAGAAGATATGGATAAAAAAAAAAAAAAAAAGATTATATATTTCTAATTTCTTAAGCCTCCGAATTTCTAGAAATCAACAACACGAGGAACTCTAACTTGCTACATTGTGAAAAGTGACACCCTGCAAATTGTCAACGCGCATATTGTAGGTTATTGGAATGGAGACTTTGAACCTAGTTTGTGTAAGAAATTAGGAACTGGTCATGTTGATAAATTAGCAACCCCTCGATCCAGTCTAAACCCACAGATTTCAATTCAATTGGCTGGTCATGTTACTTCTGACGAACACTAAATAAAGTAGCTTTTGCACCATTTTGGGAATTTTCGCAGGTGACATGCTGCCCCTTGAATTAAGGCCGAGTAATTAATTTAGGAAGGGGGTGGATTTCATGATAGGTAATAATACAAGGTCTAACATTCTCTCTTTTTTCTTTCTTAAAAAAAAAATCACGATAAATACCTTTGCTACGTGGAATGAAATCGTCAACAATATATATATATATATATATATATATATATATATATAAGGGAAAGGGAAATCTCTAAATACTACACCACATATGATGATTTTTAGGAGGAGGCTAGTATACCCCGTAGGGCATCAACAATATTATCTTAAAAGATGAGTTTAGAATGTATATGTTGTGCCATTGGCTATTGAATTATTGGATTCTTTACTAGCTATTCTATTCACAGTAGTGATTCAAAATGGCATAACCAATATATAGGCATTTCTAAGTTGGCTGCTTTAACGTTATTAGCAGGTCCTGCTCAGGGCTATGCCTTGTAAAGTTCCGTTGTGATAAATTCATATAATCACGATAATGACACGTGTTTTTCTGTTTCATTAAAAAATCATTTGAATAAAATTTCTTCACGAACGAAACAATCTTGATTTTAGGAGATTTCAATTGAATGAAGGTCGGACGACCATGACACATACAAAAATATATATATATATATATATTATTTCTCCAACTTATTAGATAGAAAGAACATACACTTAATAAAAATCATGACTTTTTAAGATGTTTTTGTCACATTATTAAACATTAGTCTAAGTAAATTCTAAACTCTCAAATAGATATCAAGAGCTGTTGAACACAAAGGTAGAATCCACCCTTTGCAAATTAATCACATCCTATATATATAAAAATTAACATTAAATATTATAAGTTTTGCTTTCTAAAATCAAAATAGATATATTACTACATATATTTTTTTATATAACTTCTTAAAGTATACTTAAGCAACACATATTTTTAAAAAAGTTAACTTAGCCAAAAGTTCTCCAAAGACCATAAGAAAACTTGTTTTACAAGCATTTGTTATTCATTTAATATAAAACAAATTATATCATCTATACGATGAATCTATCTGAAATAAAAACTATCCAACAATTAATTTTAATCTCGAGAATAACCACCGCACCGCATGCATGGTAGAATTAGCTGATATTGGCATGTTTGCTATTTTGGTGTAATTGGGAATTGGCCTGAAATTTAATTCCGAATCTGATACTGGCATCAAAGCAAAAAGGAAAGCCTTATCTGATCATCATATGGGAAGGATCCATACATGTTATGTACTGAACACTGTTCTGTTTTGTCGGCTAGAAACAACTTGCTTCTTGGGTGTCCCACGTATCCTCCACCCTTTGTCCATCAAGATTTAGAGGTCCCATTACGGAATAAATAACAAAAATATAGGATGGGTCCATACAAACCGAAGTGGGAATAGTAGATGAATCTCTAAACGAATAGGAATCTATTTTTCATATTCCAATATGATTCACATGAACGAATACTTACAAAAATGAATCAGTTCATAGATAATATGGAATTGTGTTTTGAGATGATACACAAATTTAAATATCAATTCGGACGTTCGCTCCTTCTGTACTTCTCACCTGATCATAGAAACCAAATATGCTACTTTATCATTGCAGTTATGATTCAAATAATCAAAATTTTTTTTTCCTCCTCCTCTTTTTAAGTTGAAAAAGGAAATTACTGCTATCAGTTAGTAATAAATAATAAAAGCAGATACACAATCATACATTTATCGTTTGACCACACGCCATCATGGGTCAATTATTCCAAATCAGCACTAAATGCACGACTGTGACATTGCCATAACCACACCCAATTATCACACCCTCTTATCTCTTCCTTTTTATTTTTTTATTTTTTTAATATTTTGTGTGTGGTGTACCAAAAGAAACTCTCTGCCCTACTTATTATTATTATTTTTTTTATTAGCAAAAAACAAAAGATAGACGTATCGTACTTTTTTATCCGCAACATAAAAAATGACAAATTTTGAAACAACCCCGAAACTTCCACCAAATTAAAACCTCACCCCAGTATTTTTCTTGGAAGGAAAGTTCCTTGGTTAAAAGTGAATTAATATTTAATTTGAAATCCGACAATTGAAGTTAGTTAATCTCTCCTCCTTGTTTGCGTGTATTTATACCCCATCAAACCAAGGTGCCTTTTGTACAGCTCAGCCTTAGACACCTCCTCGTCACCCACCGTTAAAAACAGCGTGCGAGGGAGCCAAAACCTCTCCGAGTCGACTCAGTGCCCGCCATTTTGACTCGCACGGAAACTTGCTTGTGCTCTCGTGACTCGGATTCTGGATCGTGTGACACTAAAGGTAATAGTTGTACAGTTTTTGTCTCTGCGTTTTCTGGCTTTATGGCGTCGTCTGGGTTTGGTGTGGTTTTCTGTGGATCTTTGATGAAATGAAGCAATGTGGATAATGTTTTGACTAGAATTTGACTTTCGTTTATTGTTTTCGCTGTTAGTTTTTTTTTTTTTTTTTGGTCTTTATTTGATTTTTGGTGTCCTTGTAATTCTGATTTTTGTGGTTTTGTTTGATTTTTGAAAGAATTTTTAAGGCCATTTTTATGATTGATTAATGTATTAGATTAGAGTATTTTGCTAGATCTTGTGTGTGTGTGTGTGTGTGTGTGTGTGTGTATTTAGTTTAATTACATAAAGATTCGTTGTTTTAGTTGAATCGAGTTTATTTTTTAAACTAATTAATGTGTATGATCAGTTTTATATGTAAATTCACTTCGATAAGAGAGAATCATGTTGAAAGATTATGTCTTTATAACATCATGAGGACCCCTATTGACCTTTCTGTAGTTTTTTTGGGGCTAAATGACTGAACGTTGTACTTTACTTTTAATTCAATGATGCATCCAAATTGGTAGAGATCAGGCTTGTTGATGATTTAAATGGTGAAAGAGGTTTTCAATTGTTTGAGGGCTTTTTGTTTGTGGAATATTTAGATCTTTTTTGCAGTCGGTAGCAATTGACTTTGTCGAGTATGGTTTTCTGGAGTTTTATGCCCTACGTTTGCAAATTGTCCTTTATTGTGGAGGAAAAATATTTATTATTGTACTCTTTCATTTCTGATAAAGGACAAAAATGTTGCGCTTATTTTCTTCATTGAGCGTTTGAGTAAATGAAAGAATCCATCAGACTTCTAATCCTTGTGTACTGCATCTTTTTTTTCCCCTTATGGTGGCAATTAATTAAAATACTGAATGTAGTGCCTTTTTCTTCTTATGATCTTATCACATAAAAAAGTATGTAAAATGGCAAAACAAATATTTACTTGGGCTGCTCTGTTTGGTAGAATGCATTTAACTTGAAGTTCTGTTCTCTGTGTGATGCAATCTCTTTAATGTCTTTGGCTAGGAAGATGTTGCTTATAGTTCTTTTGAGCATGCTGTTCATGACTGAGTATTTGTTTCTGCAAATGTGGACAAAGGAAGTTTTTTATTTAGTTGAGCGCCTTGAGGCATCTTTTCCTTGGAGAGATGAATAAAGAGCTTAGTATTTCTTCATTTACTTGTTCATGCAGAGATGGTTATTTTTTTCTACTAGATTCTGGCTTAGGTTCCGTGTCCTATATGGAGTAACAGATCACAAAATAAAACCAATTTTGTCGTTCTCATTAAAATTTCCAACCTGTGGTATAGCTGGAAGTTGCTTGCTAATACCAGCTAATTTGTTGGACAGATTTGCATTACTCTTTCAAGCGTTATGATTTATCTTATGACACGTGTTTAAAGTTTTTGTTGCATCCTGTGTGCTCTGTTTTAAATTTTGGGGTTTGTCCTCTCTGACTGTTGTGATGGACTGGTGTTTCTTACTCTTCCTGCCTGGATGAATTTGTGTCAAGTTTAATTTAGTTCGTATTAGTTCAGGTTTGACAGTTTTGCCATAGCATTAGTTGGAGAACAGTCATAGATTGTATTATGTTAATCTTGGTTATACTGCTGCTTACTTTCTGACTCTGTAATTTGCATGAAAAGCAGGGAGCATATCAGAATGAAGGCACTGATCCTTGTTGGAGGGTTTGGAACTCGGTTGAGGCCGTTGACTCTCAGTGTCCCTAAACCACTAGTTGAATTTGCCAACAAACCTATGATCCTGCATCAGGTATAAGTTTTTGAGAATTACCTTTGTTGATACATATGTAATTGGACTCATGATGAATGCTGTCTTTCTGTTTCTCTGTGCAACAACATGATATAAAGTGTTGGCTTTCTCGATCAAGAAACAGCTTTTTTTAAATAAATCCTAGGTGCTAAAAAAATTCAAACACTTGCCCATGTATAATGGGCAGTAATAATTCCATCCTCTGTCACTGTCAAGTTCATTTTCTAAATTTGGAAATTGATCTTCCACTTGGTGTTGCGTGTGTTATATCCGCATTTTGATCTTTGAAATTTTTGCAGATAGAGGCTCTCAAGGCTATCGGAGTGACTGAAGTTGTTTTGGCTATTAATTACCAGCCTGAGGTAAGAACAAGCAGCTTCTCCTCTCATCCGTTTTTTACCAATATCAACTTTTATTAATAAATAACATATTGTTCCAACTGAGGTTTGATAGCTGCTTATGGTTGTGCTCTTTCCTGCAGGTGATGTTGAACTTCTTGAAGGATTTTGAGACGAAGCTTGAGATTAAGATCACATGCTCACAGGAGACTGAGCCACTTGGCACAGCTGGTCCTTTGGCACTGGCAAGAGACAAGCTAATCGATGAATCTGGTGACCCGTTTTTTGTTCTCAATAGTGATGTTATCAGTGAATACCCACTCAAACAAATGATAGAATTCCACAAAGCCCATGGTGGAGAGGCTTCCATAATGGTGACCAAGGTAACACTTCCACTCTTCTAGTGATTAATTTATCTTCCTTAGTTTTCCTTGTTGGCATTTCCAAACTAAAATAATTTTGAAAATGTTGAAACTCATTTCTCCTTATACTGTAGGTGGATGAGCCATCAAAGTATGGTGTTGTGGTTATGGAAGAATCCACAGGAGAAGTTGAGAGATTTGTGGAAAAACCAAAAATATTTGTTGGTAACAAAATCAATGCTGGAATTTATCTGTTGAATCCATCTGTTCTTGATAGAATTGAACTGAGGCCCACCTCAATCGAGAAAGAGGTCTTCCCGAAAATTGCAGCAGAGAACAAGCTCTATGGAATGGTGCTTCCAGGGTTTTGGATGGACATTGGACAGCCAAGAGACTATATTGCTGGCCTGAGACTCTATCTAGATTCCCTACGGAAAAAATCATCGTCTAAGTTGGCCACTGGACGCCATATCCTGGGAAATGTTTTGGTGGATGAGACTGCCAAGATTGGAGAGGGTTGTTTGATTGGACCTGATGTTGCAATAGGACCAGGATGCGTTGTTGAGTCAGGAGTTAGACTCTCTCGTTGCTCTGTGATGCGTGGAGTTCGCATCAAGAAGCATGCCTGCATATCTAGCAGTATTATTGGGTGGCACTCCACTGTTGGGCAATGGGCCCGTGTAGAGAACTTGACAATCCTTGGAGAAGATGTTCATGTTTGTGACGAAATTTACAGCAATGGAGGTGTTGTTTTACCCCACAAAGAGATCAAATCGAGCATTTTGAAGCCAGAGATAGTTATGTGAGGGTTGGGTTTGAGATTTGTAGCCTGTGTTTAGACCCCTTAGTGGGTTATAAGTTATTGCGTTTGGAAATGTTTACGTTCCTTTTCCTTTGTCTTCTACACAAGTGTAAAAGTCAGTCTCTTAGAGTTTGAATTCGAGTCAGAATGGTGAAGGGTAGGTCTCTCATAAATGTGAAAATGGTGTGAGAAGTGTTACTTTGTACTGTAGATAAAAAAATAAGTTCTCATGTAACCGAAACATTGTAAAATTGAATTCTCAGTTTCACAGAATCTAGTGTAATTTATCAACAATGAAATTCTTTGTTTTGTTAATGAAGTGTCGGTGGACAGCTTATGATTTTGTTCAAATATCTGTTTATGTGTGGCTCCCAAGACTTGCATGATAAACATTTTCACCACGAGTGGAATCCCGTACATTGTCTAATCAATCTATGTTTATGCAAAAGATACTCGAGGTACATTGTAGGAAAGAAACAAATCAACAACGCTACTAGAAAGCATCTGAAATGCGTCCATTATTGGCCATGACATGCCCGATGCCTCTCTGCCAGGAAATTTGGAATCTATTTTTGTGATAAATTTCCATCATCTGTTGCTTTATCATCCCTAGATCGAGGACCATCATATTAAAGGACAGGTACTTTCAACAGGGACCCAATGCAGGTTTCTGTATTTATGTAGTAGTAATCTTCTTGTAATCAGAGAGAACAAAAAAGTTGACGATGTGGTCATCAGTACTAGACAGCTAAGCAAGACGATTATGAACAGATTAAGAGGTTATGAGAGGAGGTACCATCCAGGTCCCAAACCGATTACAATGTTGGCCTTTGTGGAGCAAAATTCTGGAAAAGGTACAGTGGGCTCAAAATGATGGCTGTCAAGGCCCTCAAGGGTTCTAGCAAAAGTGAAAGGCAGTTGTGTGTTGTTAATTGGTGTATATTAGGAATATCACCTCGCCCATCAATTAAGCATAATTATGCGGATCCCAACCGACAATTGGTGGAAATTTGATCTATTATAACTTCATGTCAGGAGCAAACAACTAAAAAATTGCATATTCTACGTAAGCACTTGACAACAATGTCACAAATTTAACACCTCAAAGTCTAATCCAATGGTCATAATTCGGAGAGAGTATCAATGGCTACCTATTCTTTTATTTTATCATTACATCGGATTCTTTAGATGATACTGCTGAGAGATAGAGAGGCCTACCATGTGAAGCAGCACCTAACCATGGTCCAGGGCTTTCAAACATGAATTCTCAAAGGGAAAAGTACAAGCGGAGTTGGATTTTTTTTTGCAATCTCAACAATTTTTTACACGTGCTTAAAAAATGAAACATGTGCAGCTTCTGACATCAATCTGCCCCATGTCCGGATTCTAAAATTCAAACTAGATTAATGTTTTTTTTTTTTTTTTATGTTTCTTTCGTGCAAGGCAGCTGGAAATGACGTGTGACAAATAAAATCTTGGTGTCAAGAAATTTTAAAAGAATTGCTTTTGCTTTGAATCATTTCGACAATTTTCCTCTTCGATCCTCCATTTTTACAATATTTAAGCAGCTGGCAATAAGAAGATTTCTCTCATTCAATATCGGTTTCAGTTTACGGGCAACATAATATATGACTGGTTGAATTGTTGCTTTCACAAGTATGAACAGAATCCAGATTGACTGCTCCAAAAGGCTCCTTATAAGCCATATAATTACATAAAATATTTTATAGCCACTTGTATAGAGAAGACGTGTTCATCTAATAGCTACTCCATAGAACTGCACAGTTAGACAAATATGCCAATTGAAGTAACACTGTTGACCACACAAGTTGTAATGAATAGGTGAGGCTATATTCCAGCCAGTTCTTAATCACTGCCTTCAAATATAGACAAGTATTTATCCCAAAGAATATTGGACATGTTACCTCATCAAGCATAAACAACTGCAAAGCTTAAACTGAAAAACGGAGCACAGGTATTATATGTTTCATGGAAAGTTGTTCCATCAGTTTGATTAGCCTATAATTAATAAGACGCCATATGTTTTACCGAAAAAAGGAACGACCCACCCAGAATGATTTACTCCTAAGATACCTATCTTATCTAATTATGCATAGATCTATTCTTGTAACTGGAATGAGAATCTTTTTCCTTGCTGACAAGATGCAACAACATCCAGCTGTTTTCCTTTCATTCGTGCAAGGTAAAAGTAAGAGGTGAAATGACATGATATTTCCTTTCTTAGTCTTTGTCGATCTTGTAACTTCAAAAACCAAGATGTTACAACATAAGATAGCAATGAATTTATGAGCTGGACAAACAGCCATGCTATTCAAATGGGACACTCTAGACATTTCCAAGAAAAATGGAAATGCTCCAACACTAACCATATTTACATGGCAAATCAAATAAAGGACTCTGTGAGGTTGTTATCGATTAATTCATACTGCGGCCAAAAGCCAAAACATAACATGAGAAGATATGGCAAGGAGAAACCACGAGATAAATGCCAAAGCAATGGAGATTTGGAACCTGCTGCATGGGAAATTGTATGGTGCTCTGCAGTAATGCAAGTCTCTTGCAAACAGCACGGTGACTCCAGCTGCTGCAGATGCAGCAGCAAGTGATAGGATAGATGTCACCTGCAATTTTTTTAACTAATTATTACAGCACTGTTTACTTGATTCTGTAGAATGAAGCAACCAGACGTTGATCTCAGGAGAAACAAAACAGGGAGAATGGTAATTTGAATAAAACTCTAGCTCTACGAGTATACATTCATCAAAAACTAAGTGAGCATACACTGTAGTGAGATGGATGTATAGAACTCGCATGTCAGTAAGATAGCACAATTAGGAAGAAGGGGAAGTGAATGAGAGAAACACGGACATGAGGAAAGGATCAAGAGAAAAATGAAATTGCTGCCATTCAGATATTAATTGAAAAACTAGGGAATTTTCCAAATATTTCAAGGGCTCTTCCCACCATGATATATTCAAAGAATGGACCAATGCTGAATGCCGTTCACATACTTTCTTGTATAGGCTAAGCAAAGAACAAAAAAAGCAAGTGCAAAGGGGCCTGAGAAACCATACTACTAGTGTATGAAAATCTGGTAGCGCTGTGTCAAATGTCATATTCAATCTCTCCTACCATGCCATAAACACACCTGTAACAATTACAATTTAACACAAGTGAAGGAGAGAAGATAGTTACCCAATCACCAACGACAAATAAGCTCACTAGGACAGGATTCTGCAGGTTTTTCTTTGATCTCAAAGCATGCAGATCAAGGCATGCAAGTCCAAAACTCCAAAGGAGTTGAAGCCCCATTGATGCAATCAAATAGCTGAATTCAAAACACACAGTCAAAACAGTGGAAGTACAAGAATGTAGAAGGATGATTGCTAAAACTCCACAACAGATGATCCTTCAAATAGTGAGATGAAGCATAATATAAGCAGCAAAGACCACTTTATATGAAATTTCAAACACATGCACGCACTAACATGCCCATTTTCAAATGCAGTCATGCACACATCGAAGTCTTCAAAAAGAATCTAGAAGTCATATTATTCCGGTGCTCATGAACATAAGATGTTGGTGTTTCCCGGAAACATACAAAGCACAAGGTTGGGAACTTGAAAAACATACAAACTGTGGCAAGGTTGGCAAAGAGAAGAGAGTAAAATAACCAGCTAAGCTACCGCACAAACCTACAGTGCATAATCACTACAAAAGATGTCCCTGGCAGCTATATATAAAGTCTTGACCAAATTCGATTGTTTATTTTAAGAAAAGAATCATTTCCCTTTGCCTCCTAACTCTAGAATGCAGAATGACATCACTCATTTGCTTTCCTGTCCATCAAACTACCACCACTTTAACTGCTCCACTGGTTGAAACAAAATCCAGTTGACTTGATTGGAGTGCTGCCAATTCTAGGTGTAGTTACCATCGCTATTACAAGGAGGAAGGTGTCTCTTATGTTCTTGGAGTCAAAAGCAAGTGGAATAAACCAACATGATATGATGTGCTCATAAGAGGTTCAATATGGAAGTACAGCCATCAGCTACTGCAAAATGAAAAATGCCAAATGTGTTATGCAACTTAGTACTTCGTTTGGTTTGCTACATGAAGAGATCTTTATCCTCTCTCATTTGCTTGTCCATTGTACCTTCACCCTGCTTCTATCTGATGCCTTCGTACATCCTTATGGATATCTCCCAATGAGATGCCAAGTAATCAAATGATATGGCCTTGATGTAATTGTCTGGCCTACAAATGGGTTGCCACAAGCTATGAAGCTTCCAAGCTTCATTATTTCATTTTGAGTCCATTTGGATTGATCAGATGCAATGCTAGCAGAAGACTTCTAGGAGATTTTAAGCAATACCTTTTCATTTGTATCACCTCTGTCATAAAGACCGTTTTATTTCAATCACTACAGTTCCCGTCACAGTTTTAGAGAAGACTTCTTGGAGATTTTAAGAAATAACTTTTAGGCTGGTATATTCACTCTAAAACTGTGATGAGAACTGTAGTGATTGAAATAAAATGGTGTTTATAGCTGAGGTGATACAAATGAAAAATGAGAACATTTAAGTACTGCATGGGGTTCCCTCCTGGTGTAGCAACAGATCCACAAAGCATAAGGGCCATCTTTTTCTTATAATTCAATGGCATTTTTTGGAAGGGACCTCTTTCAAAGGCTGTTTCAAATTCATATGTGCCAGCACAGAAAGTTGAAAATTACTTTGTGCTTCATCTTTCCATAATTTGTGAGGGTAGTTGAAGACTACCGTAAGAACTGAGCACTTTTTGGATCAGTCATCATTCATACTTAGGAATGTCTAAAATGGTAGGAACACAGAACAACCTTCTCTTCTGTCGTAGTGCAAGCTTAATTTGGGTACATGATCCTCAATACAAAGTGTTCAAGTCCATTTTATATGTCACAATTGTGAGCAATGATCGCAGATGAAACATTACGTGTCCAATTGCTAGACTCAATCCATAGAAGCAAATTACAGGCAACCAAATCCGTAAGTTTTTCCTCATTTAAAAGAATTTCCCACCCCAACATCATGGGTTCACCCTCCTTTCACTCTAAGTTACTCTGTTGATTCAAGCAAAGGCGATGCAGCACTGTTTCCCTACCATGAGACTGTTATAATTAGGAACTAGCCCCAAAGTTATTTCCAACCACCAGAAATGGGGAACCCAGATGATGTAAACTAACAATGTGCATGTCCGAGCAGAAGCTTAGTATAAAAAAAAAAACAGAGAGAGAAGAAGCTACAAACACCATTACCTATAATAACTGTAAATTATAGACTTGAATATCATATCATTTTGGGAGGGGATGGTTCTCCCTCTTTTTGATCTTTTAGCCAAATTCCTCCATTGGTTGAAGCCGAAAACACTACAGCCAAAATTTTACCCCAAGCACTAAAAGAAAGGAAACCCAACTCATATAAACTCACAATGTATTAATATTACTCGGTAGATATTTAGGAAAACATAGAGCCAACCATTCTAAAAATACCATGAACTACAATAACACAAGAAAGAACTGATTTTGACAAACGAAATAGGCCACTTCCAGTGGACCAATGGAAGCTAAACCATAATCAATTTCCCAAATAAAACATGGTCAACAGATAACAATCCATAAAGAAAGACCAGCAGCCAAAAAAAAAATTTAAAGAAGATAAAAGTCAGATGAAAAATTACCAGAAAGCAGTAGCATTAAAGAAGCCACGAGCAGAGACCATGACCACAATTGAAGCAGCTGCAAACACAAACTGCCCTACTCTCAATCCCAAGCCACTCACTTTCCCTGGACCCCCAAACAACTCCTTCATATCTCCCTTAAAGAAAGGAGCTTTCTTGCTCTTTCTCTCAAGAACTAGAGACCCTTTTCCCAAAAAAGAGAGAATTTTGGGGAGGGTGAGTAGTAAGATTATTAGGTGCTCTTTTCGACTGAGTGTAGAATATTCCTTGAGAATGCAACAGCCATCAACTACTACTACTCTTTATTGTGAAGGTATAAAAAGGATTTTATTAAAGTGGCATGGGATTAGGATTTGCTTTTTCACGGATTTTGATTTTGGCTTGCAGTTTAAGGATCTTTACTCATAATTGAATGTTTTTATGACACACTGTTTCTTAATATTAACTGAAAAACATACTAACTTTGATAACCACTAGTCCTTAACTAGTGGCTTACAGGTTTCGCTTAATTAATTGCAACTTTAGTTTTTGTTCTTTCTTCTTCTGTATTTTTTTTATGAAAGTAAAGTAAGCAATGTTGTCAGTGTCATTCTTGAAAGCAAAAAAAGTAAATGATGTTGGAGTAAATTATAGATTAGTCCCTCTATTTTTTAAATAAGAATTAATTAGTCCTTTTTATTTGAAAAACTAATTATTTAATTTCTTAATCAATATTGATCATCTTTAATTTAATATAATTTTATTTCATAAAATTTCATATTTTTTCCTCAATTATTTTATTTTATTTTTTAAAATAAAAATTCCAAAAAAAAATCAAAGAGTCAAAAAAGGATTATTTTACAAGAAAATTAAAAATATATGGACTAAATAATTAGCTTTGAAAATGAAATAATTGATAAATTTCTCAAAACTAGATGGACTAATTTATAATTTACTCATAAATGTTGAGATGGCATCCGTTCGAGCCGAGCTTATGGAAAAAATTTATTTAGATTTATCTTGGTCCGAGGGCCATATCAAAATGTGGTTTGTGGATCCCTTATCCAGTTTGATTTAGTGGGGTTTGATTTGTTGGGTTTAATCCAAAAGGATGGCTAGACCGTCTCTACGTCTCAATGTCATCCCTAACAAATATTAAAAACTTCTATTTACAAAAATGAAAGAAGCTGTTATAAAATAAATAGAAATAATATAAGAATTAAAGAAAAGGATGACAAGAAAATGAAAACACTATAATGTGAATATAAGTTATAAGAACTTCAAAGTTTCTCTTATTCTCTATATGAAACTTGAACACTAACCAATAAACAATCAAACCTATTTATAGGTTTCAAAATTGAGGAGAGAATTGAAAGGGACTATAAATAATCAATTGCACCACCCTTTCAATTCATCATATTGAATGATGAATTGAATCATATTAAGAATCATGAGTAGTGGGGATATAAAAAGTGGATGAACATGATGATAGACATTCATTATTTCATAACACTCCCTTAAATGTCTATTATACAAGGAACATGCCTCGTTAAAACCTTACTAGAAAAAAACCTAGTGGAAAAAAAAAATCATAATGAAGGAAAAAGAGTACAATATTCTTTGCACACATTAATCTCCATTTTGGTCTCCCTCTGTTGAAGGCATTATTTAAGATCTCTAAGATGACGTATTCCAATCTTGTGAATCATTTTCTCAAAAGTTATGATAGGTAATGCTTTAGTGAATAAATCTACTTGGATTGTCACTTTGATGTATTCTTCATTCAATGAAATTATGCAAGTAGCATTATCCTCATATGATATTGTTGGAACTTCTTTTCTTGGTAGATAAATTGCATGTCTCTTTGATACGATGGATCATTGATCTTAGACCAACACATTCTCAACTTGCCTCATGAATTGATATTTCGCATGATTTGAAGATGTGGCGACTATAGTTTGTTTTATAGAACACAAAGATATAGCTGAATCTATATATGTAAATATATCACCAGTTGTGATCGAGCTTTGTGTAGATCGGATAAATAACTCGCATCCGCATAACCAATTAATCTTGTCTTTTATTTATTGGAGTAATATAAGCTCATATCAATTATTCCTCGAAGATAACATTGTATTTATTTAACTTTATTTCAATGTCTACTATATTGAAACGAACTATGACTTGCTAACAAATTTATAGAAAAGACTATATCAAGTCGAGTATTATTAGCAAGATACATCAATGTACCGATGGCACTAAAATATGGTACTTCGGGACCGGGTAGTTATTCGTTATCTTCTCGAGGTCGAAAATGATCTTTTTGGATATCAAGTGAATGAACTCGCCATTGGGTTAGTCAATGAATGATCTTTATATAGAATCATTGTAGAACCTTTTTCGATATAAATTGATCGATGAATGAAAATCTCATTTTCTAAGTACTCAAACTGCGAGTCGATATAACATTTTGTTTTCCTAATATATTCATATCAAATTCTCTTTTTAGGTAACTTACGACACTTGAAATCTCTTCGAGAGTTCTAATAATATTTAAGTTATCAACATATACAACAAACTCCTTTTCAAATAAAAATATATGAACAAATAGGGTTATTTTTTATAACTTTCTTTCAATAAATAATCATTGAAGTTATTATATCACATGCACACGGGTTAGTAATAAACGAGTAGATATAAAAATAAAATATAAAAAGTATAAATTGAATTTCTAAAAACCAAAATAATAAAACAAATATTAAAATAATCCTAATAGAGATCTCTATTATTTAATTGAATTCTTATATCGAGAATATATATTACATGCTTCTAGCATGTTAAGTCCTTCTATGACTTTCATATCGATTCATCTCGAATGAACAAATAAATTGTGATCGTATTCATTAAATGCATGCATATGAATGTTTTTCATATATTTTTTCGAGCCAATGAAATAACAAAAGACAATTACATCCATTATAAGAGAATATGTCTCCTCATAGTCAATGTCGGTTCTTTACGAAAACTTTTCCGTTAAAAGTTTTGCTTTGTATCTTATAATCTCTTTTTTTTTCGTTTTTGCATAAATATATATCCGTATCCCACTAACTTAACATTTTCGAGTGTTTTAGCTAGGGGTTCAAAAAACTACTCTTTTGTAGGAGAACATAATTCCGTTTGGATTGCTCTTTTCATTTAGGCCAATCATCTTTATATTAACATTCTTCAATAATTTAGGCTCGGGATCCTTATTTTTATTCAAAATATCAATTATAACTTTACATACAAAAATCTTATCAACAAATATTTCTCTTCGGTCCTATTTTCTCTCTGTATTAACATAATTGATCAAAATCTTTTGATTTTTCTCAAGCATTTGGACTTCTTTTGGAAGCCTATTATCGAAATATCTTGGATCATTTTATGAATATTTAAATCCTTTATTTTTTCATCTTGTCTTTTTTTTTTTTTAGGGATTTTTATCTTTAAAACCGATCGGTCTTCCACGCTTCGGGCATGCTTTAAATTCGTTAGCTATAATATTAATAGATCGTCATTCTAGGACATCAATTATAACAAAAGCATTCTCAACGAGGACATACATTTTATTTACTCTTTTAGGATGTCGAATACATCTAACGGTTGGTTTATAATACCTTGTAAACGAATTATCTTGTAAACTTCTAGTCCACATTGTTTTGTACCAAATTGATATAAAGATAGAGTACTCTATGTAATCTTTTTTTTAATACTTTCAACTCGCTTATTTTATTTATTCTCTCCCTCTAATGTTGAAAAAATTATTTCATCAAAATGATAGTCGATAAATCGAGTCTGTAAAAATTTTCTCTTATCATGAATCAAGAGATTAAATTATCAAAGAGTATTCATACATTTTCAATCTTTTTTAAGTGTCCATTTTATTTCATTATGGAGGAGCACTAAGGATATACACTCGTAATGCCAAAATTTCTTAAATAAGAAATAATTGGCTCATGATTATAAATCAATTGAAGATGAGAGAATTTTCGATAACTTATGGGTCATATGCGAATAAGTGTTGCTTGCATGTAAGATTGCATGTCCTCAAACATAAATAGAGAGTTTTATTTTTAAATAATGATTTAGCTATCAATTAGAGCCTTTGGTAAATGATTTTGCTAAACCATTTTAAGTATGAACATGAGCAACATGATATTCAACCTTTATTTTAATAGCCAATCAATAATAATTTAATGCTTAAGAAACAAATTCATCGAGCATTATCAAGGTGACTTGTTTTAATAGCATAATTTGAAAATTATGCTCAAAATCAAATTATTTACTAGCAATTTCGAAAACGTCAAGTTTTGATTAGATAATAAGCATATATACGACCATCTTGTTGATGCATTTATCAAAATCGTAAAATATTTAAATAATCTACGTGGTGGATCAATTGATCCACATATATCACCTTGAATACATTCTAAAATACTGAAGATTCAATCTCAATTTTACTTAATGATGACTTAATCATCAATTTGCTTTAGCAACATACGGAACATGAAAATTCATTAAATTAAAGAATCTTACGGCTTTTCAATAGATATTCATATAAATTTTTTAATAATTTTTTCGCATCATGAAAGATCCAAGATAACACAACTCGGTCATGTCATATAGTAAAAGTATTTGAATTAGTAAACTTTTGGTTTACTACAATATTTGTTTCAATCATTTCAATGTTTGTAATAAAGACTAGAAGAGAAAACGAATAAATTTTTTGATAGATATTTTTTACCTAATATAATGATTATAACATATAAGTATTCACATTTTCTATCTTGATATGATATCAATTTAGATGAATATCTTTGAAACTCAATAAATTTCTATGAGACTTTGAAGAGAATAGTACATCATTCGTAATGAATTTATCCTTTCGGATAATAACATATTTGCTCTTCTAGAGCCTTTAAATTAGTCACTTCAAGTAATAATATATCGATTCTTCTAAAGCTTTTAAACATTTTCTCTTCAAGTAATAATTTATTCACTCTTCTAGAGCTTCAAAATTTATCTCTTCAAGTTATGATATAATCGCTCTTCTAGAGCTTTCAAAATCTATCTATTTATATAATAATATAATCGCTCTTCTAGAGCTTTCTATTAGATCGATATTATCATATATAATATTAACATAAAATAAATAATCAAATAAATCAATACAAAATAGATAAATCAATATATTCCTCATAAATACAAACAAACAAATAAATAGTAAAATAAATTTGTAACCATCAATATACGACATAAATTATAAGAAACATAAAACATTTTATTTATAGATAGAAAAACTAACGAGTAATTAATTTCAATTACTATCAGTTTGATATATAAAAGCGACATTCATATTTTACTCTTTATTTTTTTAATAAGGCTTGACAAGCCTCAACGAGGTGCTTTGGTATACAATAGGTACATGATTAATAGTCATTCATTCCACATCTATAATATTTATTTTTCAAAATACCGACTTTATTGATTTTTTTTCATAGTTATCCACTTTTGATGGTAAGATGTAATATTATGGTCGTTATGATTATAATGATAATTATTTCGACCATATCCATGGCTATGACCACATCTTCATCAATGTCTAAAATTATTATAAATTGTCACATTCATTTCAAGGAATGGAGTAGATCTAATTGGATGGGATTTATTCTTTTTCATTTTATTTAGCCACTAACAAGTATAAAATCGATTCAAAATATTTTTTAAACTCCTTTTCTCGATATGCTACTTGCGAGAGCATATCCAAGACATAAAAAGTAGAGAATATATTTTCAAAATCAAAAACTCATAATCAATAATTCTTATTCAAAATATCAAGAGTCACCGAATCAAGTTTATGAGGTTTGATATGATAAAAATTCTATAATACAATATATAATAATAATATTAGAAAAAAAATATAATAATAAAATTAAAGCTTTTGAAATAACATATATAGATCATTGGTCGATCATTTAAGTTTTTCAAATATATATTTCATGTATCAATAGATTTAAAGTACATGAATAAATTATATACATACCTTTTAATGATCTAAATAATTTAGATCTTTTGGTAGAGCACTTATGTAAAATAAATCCAATTGATGAAACAATTGATTAAATCTTTTGATAGATACATATTTCATGGTCTATTATCTTGATTGATTAGAGCTTCGTGTCGATAACGTGTTATAAAATAAATAGAAACAACAGGAGAATTGAAGAAAAGAATGATAAGAAAATGAAATCACTATAATGTGAATATAAGTGATAAGAACTTCAAAATTTCTTTTATTTTCTATGAAACTTGTACACCAATCAATGAATAATTAAGCCTACTTATAGGCTTCAAAATTAAGGAGAGAATTGAAAGGGATTATGAATAATCAATTGCTTCACCCTTTCAATTCATCGTATTGAATGATGAATTGGATCATATTAAGAATCATAAGTAGTAGAAATATGAAAAATGGACGAACATGATGATGGATATTCGTTATTTCATAACAAAGACAAGATAGTTTTGTTTTTTTTGTTTTTTTATCCTCAATGTAAAAACATGTGGCAACCAAATTAATATAATTAAATGAAAGGACAAATATCTCACCAGAACCTACGATAGAAGGACAAGAATCTATAATAAGTTTTGTACAGGGGCAAACTTTGTAGAAAAGCTAGACTAGAAGGACAAAACGTGCCACTAGCAAATATCACTTTACTCTCTCTTTCCGTAACAGAGTCTTAATTTGTAAGGGAAACATTATTAATTAAAGATGACTTGCCACAAATAACCTCCTCGGGAACTCGTAGAAGAAGAAAAAAGGAAGATAAACTAAACCCCCCTAAAACCCTAGAATCCCCCATTTCATTCTCTAAACCTTCTAGACATAGCCCTGCTCTCTTCCTTCAAACAAAACACAAGAAAATGTCTTTCACTGCAATTCTCCGCAAATCGGCTTCCATTGTAGCCCCACTAGCGAGTCGACTCGTTCGAGTTGGCCAGAGAGGTTACCACTTTGCCCTCTTCTCTTCCCTGAACCACCAAGTCAGTCTCCCTCACAAAAATCCATCTTCTGTTGCTCCATTTCTGTTCCGTTTTTGTTCTGCGGCTATTGTAACTCAGAGGCCCAGTTCGACTGAGTCGCTTGTTCGAGTTCTTGAATCGGAAATCAAGATTGCCCAGGAAACAGATGATCATGATCTTGTAAGGCTTTCTTTTTAATTTATGGGTTTTGTTCGCGTTTTCTTATCCTTTTAGTAAAGATATGTAATTTTTTTTTTCATTAGAGAAGTAAACTAGAAGGAATTTTAACTCTAAATATAGAGCTGATGTGAAAAAAAAATTGTATAAACTTCTTTTCATTTTCGAATTGTGCAATCGTTGTTTTGTTGAGAAAAAACAGCTTTTGAATGTTACAGTTGATTCTGGCTTGCGAAAATAGTAACATTGAACAAAATTCTGGATTCAGTGCAAATTTGCACAGACTATACTGTAATTTACTATAGACTGTTAGTTTTGATATTCTTGTTCTTGGCTGCCAACGCTTTCTACTATGCTCTAAGGGGCTCCTTCCAATATTTTTGGTCACAAAGAAATGCAATGGAAGAGAAGAAACTTAGGTTTGAGCTTTAACTTTTCACCTAATGAAAACTTGATTGTTTCACTAGAAATTGGAGCCTTGCGTGCAGGCTACCGAAGAAAGTGTTCTCGAGATATTGTATATTGAAATGGAGTGGTCCTATATTGTTTTTAAGTAACTATCTATCTAGGTTTTCAAGTTCTTTTACTTGGTTTTAGGGTGAGATATTCTTTGTGGTCAGGTTGGTACCAAAACGAGAACATAGCCAGTAGGTTTTTCGTGCATAGTTTTTTTATGAATAGTATTAAACTTTAAATCATAACAATTTGTTGTTTGTAGAGCTTGCAGTTCATAATTTACCACTACACTTGTATATTTCCTATTCAAGAAATTGAGAGAAAGAATCAGTTATGCCTGGGTAAATTGGAGTTTTAATTTCAGAATTCTTTCAGTCATGCCAAAAATTTAATTTTCTTCATCAGTGATGGATACATAGTTCTATTTTGTCAGGAAGTTAAACTAGTTTTTCTATTAACTACAAATATTGAGTAATAATGTAGTAGGTTTGTGTTATATTCTTTTTCCTTTACTTGGGCCTTTTGTAGGTAGAAGAGCTTCCAAAGGACTTCCCTTTCAAGATTGATGACAACGTTGGGCAACAAACTGTGATACTGACAAGAGAATATGAAGATGAACTCGTGAAAGTTGAAGTTCACATGCCCGATCTTGTTACTGGGGAGGATAATGATGTTCGTGATGACAATGATGATAAGGAACAGTCAATGCAATCTACCATCCCTTTAGTTGTCACAGTCTCTAAAAAGAGTGGAACTTGTCTAGAGTTTGACTGTGTTGCTTATGCAGATGAGATAGCAATTGACAGTATGTCCATTAAAGTTCCTGAAACTTCTGAAGATCAAATGGCCTATGATGGGCCTAACTTCCAGTAAGCTTGCTACCTCTTTTTCACGGGCAATGGATTGATGGTTTACATTATTCTGTTATGTAACAATCGTGTCGCGTTTTACAGTGATTTGGATGAAAATCTGAAGAAAGGTTTCCACAAGTATCTGGAGATCAGAGGAATAAAGGCCAGCACCACCAATTTCTTGCACCAGTACATGATCAACAAAGACAGTCGAGAATACGAGGGATGGTTGAACAACCTTAAGCAGTTCATCGAAGCATAATCCTTAAACTAAATGATCGATTAGATGAACAAACAAAGACGGCTGAGAATTGTTATGCTAGTGGGGAGTCTTTTAAGAAGCTTATTGAAAAAACCTTTTCATCTTATGGTGCATAATCACTACAAGAGATGTCCCTGGCAGCTATATATAAAGTCTTGTCCAAACTCGATTGTTTCTTTTAAGAAAAGAATCATTTCCCTTTGCCTCTTAATTCTAGAATGCAGAAAGACATAGGGCAGAATAACATCACTCATTTGCTTTCCTGTCCCTCAAACTACCACCACTTCAACTGCTCCACTGGTTGAAACAAAATCCAGTTCACTTGTCTGGAGTGCTGCCAATTTTAGGTGCAGTTACCATCGCTATTACAAGGGGGAGGGTGTCTCTTATGTTCTTGGAGTCAAAAGTAATTGGAATAAACCAACATGATATGATGTGCTCGTAAGAGGTTCAATTTGGAAGTACAGCCATCAGCTACTGCAAAATGAAAAATGCCAAATATGTTATGCAACTTGTCCTTGGTTTGGTTTGCTACCTGAAGAGATCTTTATCCTCTCTCACTTGCTTGTCCATTGTACCTTTACACTGCCGCTCTCTGATGCCTTCATGCATTCTTATGGATCTCTCCCAATGAGATGCCAAGTAATCGAATGGTATGGCCTTGACATAATTGTCTGGCCTACAAATGGGTTGCCATAAAGTTATTATGCTTCCAAGCTTCATTATTTCATTTTGAGTCCATTTGGATTGATCAGACGCAATGCTAGCAGAAGACTTCGAGGAGATTTTAAGCAATACCTTTTCATTTGTATCTCCTCTGTTACAAAGACCATTTTATTTCAATCACTACGCTTCAAGGAGATTTTAAGAAACACATTCTAGGCTGGTATATTCACTCTAAAACTGTGACGAGAGCTGTAGTGATTGAAATAAAATGGTCTTTATAACAAAGGTGATACAAATGAAAAATGAAAACATTTAAGTACTGCATGGGGTTCCTTCCTGGTGTAGCAACAGATCCACAAAGCATAAGGGCCATCTTTTTCTTATAATTCAATGGCATCTTTTGGGAGGGACCTCTTTCAAAGGCTGTTTCAAATTCATATGTGCCAGCACAGAAAGTTGAAAATTACTTTGTGCATCATCTTTCCATAATTCGTGAGGGTAATTGAAGACTACAGCAACAACTGAGCACTTTATGGATCAGTCATCATTCATACTTTGGAATGTCTAAAATGGTAAGAGCACAGAACAACCTCCTCTTCTATCGTTGTGCAAGCTTAATTTGGGTACATGATCCTCGATACAAAGGGTTCAAGTCCATCATTATATGTCACGATTGCGAGCAATGATTGCAGTTGAAACATTACGTGTCCAATTGCTAGACTCATTCCATAGAAACAAATTACAGGCAACAAAATCCATAATTTTTTCCTCATTTAAAAGAATTTCCCACCCCAACATTATGGGTTCCCCCTCCTTTCACTCTAAGTTCCTCTGTTGATTCAAGCAAAGACACTGCAGCACTAATTATATAATCTTTTAATCAATATTCATCATCTTTAATTTAATATAATTTTATTTCATAAAATGTCATATTTTTTGTCTAATTTTTTATTTTCTATTTTTTAAAAATAAAATAAAAATAAAAATCAAACAGGAGAAAAATGGACTAATTTATAATAAAATTAAAAATATTGGACTAAAAAATTAGTTTGTGAAAAATGAAGATAAATTTCTCAAAACTAGAGGTACTAATTTATAATATACTCATAAATGTTGAGATGGCATCTGTTCTGGGCCGAGCTTATGGAAAAGATGTATTTAGAATTATCTAGGTCTGAGGCCCATATCCAGATGCGGTTTGTGGATCACTTTTCCAGCTTGATATAGTGAGGTGTGATTTGTTTTCCAGCTTGATATAGTGAGGTGTGATTTGTTGGGTTTAATCCAAAAGGATAGCTAGACAGTCTCTACGTCTCAATGTCATCCTCGGCAAACATTAAAAACTTCTATTTACAAAAATGAAGAGGAAAATGAAAGGATAAGATGGTTTTTTTTTTCTCTCTTTTATCCTCAATGTAAAAACATGTGGCAACCAAATTAATATAATTAAATGAAAGGAAAAATATCTTACCACAACCTACGATAGAAGGATAAGAATCTACAATAAGTTTTGTACAGGGGCAAAATTCATATAAAAGCTAGACTAGAAGGACAAAATGTGCCACTTGCAAATATAACTTTACTGACTTTTTCCGTAACAGAGTCTTAATTGGTATGGGAAACATTATTACTGAAAGGTGACTTGCCACAGGTAATCCCCTCGAGCGCTCCAGCAAGAAGAAAAAAGGGGCCAAGGAATATAAACTAAACCTCTAAAAGGCTAAAACCCCTAAAACCCTAGAATCTCCGATTTCATTCTCACTTAGCCCTGCTCTCTTCCTGCAACCAAAACACAATAAAATGTCTTTCACTGCACTTCTCCGCAAATCGGCCTCCACTGTAGCCCCACTAGCGAGTCGACTCGGCCAGAGAGGTTACCACTCTGCCCTCTTCTCTTCCCTGAACCACCAAGTCAGTCTCCCTCACAAAAATCCATCTCCTGTTGTTCCATTTCTGCACCGTTTTTGTTCTACGGCTATTGAAACTCAGAGGCCCAATTCGACTGAGTCGCTTGTTCGAGTTCTTGAATCGGAAATCAAGATTGCCCAGGAAACAGATGATCATGATCGTGTAAGGCTGTCTTTTTACTTTACGGGTTTTATTCGTGTTTTCTTATCCTTTCAGTAAAGATATGTAATTTTTTTTTTCATTAGCGAAGTAAACTAGAAGGAATTTTAACTCTAAATTTAGGGCTGATGTGGAAAAAAATTATATGAACTCCTTTTCATTTTCGAATTGTGCAATCGTTGTTTTGTTGAGAAAAACAGCTTTTGAATGTTACTGTTGATTCTGGCTTGCAAAAATACTAACATTGAACAAAAATCTGGATTCAGTGCAGAGATGCACAGATTATACTGTAATTTACTATAGCCTGTTAGTTTTGATTTCCTTGTTCTTGGCTACCAACGCTTTCTACTATGCTCTAAGGGCGCCTTCCAATCTGTTTGGTCACAAAGAAATGTCATGGAAGAGAAGAAACTTAGGTTTGAGCTTTAACGTTTCATCAAATGAAAACTTGATTGTTTCGCTAGAAACTGGAGCCTTGCGTGCAGGCTATCGAAGAAAGTGTTATCGAGATATTGTATATTGAAATGGAGTGGTCCTATATTGTTTTTAAGTAACTATCTATCTAGGTTTTCAAGTTCTTTTACTTGGTTTTAAGGTGAGATATACTTTGTGGTCAGGTTGGTACCAAAACGAGAACATAGCCAGTAGGTTTTTCGTGCATAGTTTTTTTATGAAGAGTATTAAACTTTAAACCATAACAATTTGTTGTTTGTAGAGCTTGCAGGTCATAATTTACCACTACACTTGTATACTTCCTATTCAAGAAATTGAGAGAAAGAATCAGTTATGCCTGGGTAAATTGGAGTTTTAATTTCAGAATTCTTTCAGTCATGCCGAAAATTTAATTTTCTTCATCAGTGATGGATAGATAGTTCTATAATGCCAGGAAGCCTTTTTTAAACTAGTTTTTCTATTAACTACAAACAGTAAGTAATAATGTAGCAGGTTTGTGTTATATTCTTTTTCCTTTACTTGGGCCTTTTGTAGGTAGAAGAGCTTCCAAAGGACTTCCCTTTCAAGTTTGATGACAACGTTGGGCAACAAACCGTGATACTGACAAGAGAATATGAAGGTGAACTCGTGAAAGTTGAAGTTCACATGCCTGATCTTGTTACTGGGGAGGATAATGATATTCGTGATGACAATGATGATAAGGAACGGTCAATGAAATCTACCATCCCTTTAGTTGTCACAGTCTCTAAAAAGAGTGGAACTTGTCTAGTGTTTGACTGTGTAGCTTATGATGATGAGATATTAATTGACAGTATGTCAATTAAAGTTCCTGAAACTTCTGAAGATCAAATGGCCTATGGCGGGCCTAACTTCCAGTAAGCTTCCTACGTCTTTTTCACGGGCAATGGATTGATGGTTTACATTATTCTGTTATGTAACAATGGTGTCTCGTTTTTACAGTGATTTGGATGAAAATCTGAAGAAGGGTTTACACAAGTATCTGGAGATCAGAGGAATAAAGCCCAGCACCACCGATTTCTTGCTCGAGTACATGATCAACAAAGACAGTCGAGAATACCTGGGATGGTTGAACAACCTTAAGCAGTTCATCGAAGCATAATCCTTAAACTAAATGGTCAATTAGATTAACAAACAAAGACGGCTGAGAATTGTTATGCTAGTGGAAGAGTCTTTTAAGAAGCGTATTGAAAAAACCTTTTCGTCCTAAAATTTCAGTATAGAGATCATGTCAAATAGCTATTAGGCTCACCGCCTTGTCAGCATCTTATATTATGGTATATCTTTCAGGTGCACAGCTCTGTCAGAAAGATGATTTAAAACGCGTATTAGCACGCTAATTTGCAAGTGTGACACGGGTACTACTTCATTACATATTGTTGTCAGCGGGGCTGATCAGATGCCAGCAATATGAAATTGATAATCAATTGATTTTCCTTTTTTTATAACTGGAAGTAAATTTCTGTCAAGTTAAATGTTATCTTGATCACTTTAGATGATTTAGAACAACAATGTCGAGGATAACTTGGTCAATTTAGTTTCGAAACAAAAATGCGGTAGTAAAAACAATTGCAATCATAAATCACGATTTATTACGTTATGAAAGGATTGATAGATTGATTGCTAATAAATTTATTTTAATTTATTCAGTATAATAATATGTTTAATATTATGCAAAGTTGAATTTATTAGAAATAATAATAACAACAACAACATTTTTAATAGTTTCATACAAAAAAATAATAAAATAAATAAAATAACAACTGTTATTAATAAATAATAAGAATCATTAAATAATAACAAATATCTTATAGTTTCATTACTTTGTAAAAAATATCATTATACTTTTTATTACACAGCATATAAGGATAATAGACATGTTCAGATTTATTAAATAACCGTTTTTTTTTATTTTATTACAGCCCTAATTAGAACTATGCTCTTATCATAGTTTTAAATCGCAAACACAAATAATAACACAATTGAAAAAACAATTATAATTACGACTTAATGACAGTATTAAAATAATGGTTGCAACAACCAATATCATAAAAACATTAACAGTTGATAAATTTATTCTACTAAAATATTTTTACTAATTAAAAATATTAATAACATCTCATGAATAGATTATAAAATACAGAGATTAAAATTTTATTTATTTATTTACTTATTTTAATACAACAACATTACATGATGGTAACCCCGTCAACCATATAAAACGGCAACATATTCTATATAAAACCAGAGATCAATAACAAAAGCAACCATTGTATAAAGCTCATTACATTAAATAACATCTGATGTTTGAATCTATGGACCCCATTGTCATGGCAAGAAAGATAACAAGATAATGGAATTGAGAAGCAAATTTCATAAACCTAGGCGGTTTAAGAAAATCGACGAAACGTCACACATAACGGACTTATTTGAAACTATGATCCCTTGGTCACAGTAAGAACAAGATAATGGAATTGAGATGTAAATTTCATATACCTTGGGACAAAGAAAATTGAAAAAGGGGAATCAGAGAACATGTTAGAAATTAAACTGAGAAACAGATTTGCGAGGTTAAGACTTATTTCATGAGAATGAAAAAAATGCGACTTTGGCGAGAGCTAGAATGAATTGAATTCAGCAATTGTAACAAGTAGCAAACCCTCGTTTGATATGGACCAAGGATTCCTTGAACGAGTAATGCTTTTCATCTTCTGCCCATGTACCAAAAGGCAAAGCAGCAAAAATTCAACCAGCATCAAAAAACCACCACTAAGTAAATCATTTCAGGGCACCATGATATGAAAGGATCCATAGATGCGATTGGTAATGTTTTATAACGTAGGAAAAAATGAGACGGATTCTGAGCTAGTTTAAGCATACATAATACTGCTACAAGATTATAAAAAGTATAAGCGGTACAAAAGGCATCATTAATGTTGATGCCCAACAGGAATTGATAATGGTCATCAGGCCAAGAAAAAAATTGAGGCGTATCAGACAACTACCTAACGTACAGACTGGGCTGAATAATTACGAAAAATAAGCAACTCAAATGCAAAAGGCGTGCTGTCCTCTATCACCATCATCTTCAAGGAGAAAGCTACCTTACTTATTGACTGATTACATAGTTACATCCTTATGGGTGTACACAATCCCTTTATCACCATTCACCACTTGCCCACTACCTCTAAGAATCCTGCAAGAGGCCAATAAGAAGGTCAATATTTAAACAGAAAATTTTGATACTTGCCACCACCTTTTTATTCACAAGGGTAAACAAGAACCTGATAAAATAGTTGCTTCCTAGGAGTGCTAGTCCTGTCTATTTTTCTAGCTACTACCTCTGGCTAAAAAGAGATCAGAGAGAATGCCAGGCTGATAAATCATGGCTATCTGTTTTTCTAATTAATAACTCTAGCTAAAAAATTATCAGAGAGGATGCCAGGCTGATAATCATGGCTACCAAATACTGGCACCTATTCTAAACAACATTATGATGCTCGTCTAAATGGCAAACAACACCTATATTATCCAGAAAAACCCAAGATATGATCCTTGAAGGGTGCTAAACTTTTTCACATCAAACTACACATACAAAGATCATAAGCAGATTCTTACCATCTAGTTGTTAACAATCCTTCAACCCCTACAGGGCCTCTAGCATGAATCCTGCTTGTGCTTATTCCGACCTATTCAGCCAATAAGAATCAACTATGAGAAGCATGAATACCTCAAATGATGCTCAAAATAATTGTGCGATAACATTTTACCTCTGCACCTAGTCCAAATCGAGCTCCATCACAGAATCTTGTGCTTGCATTGTGAAAAACAGCAGCACTGCAATTGTACACAACAGGAAACATCACTTAGCTGGCTGCTGTTATTAATGGGCTTGCATATAGGTGAGAGAAGATTGAATCATCTAGAAAAAACTAGGGTGAAAGTATAAAGCTGAATGTTGGAGTTCAGAAGATTATAAACGCACCAAGCAAGGCTAAGAAACAGTAGAGAAAATATAATCCGTCAAAAATTCTTGCCTGTCAACTTGACTTAGAAAGACTTCAGCAACACCTCGGTCTTCAGCTATGATACATTCAGTATGTGCACTGTCACAAGAACAAAAATACACACTAAATACAGGAACTATACATGTTTATGCACAATAGGAAATGACCATCATTATGATTGGGACAAAAGCATCGACATGCCTTCCATGTTCATGTATATGATCAACGGCAGCATGCACGTCATCAACAATTTCAACAGTGCAAGCCATAGAATTGTACTCGTGATGAAAAGAATAGGCCTCTGGAAGTTTCAGCTCCTTGCATGCCCGTGGTCCACCAAATAAAGTAACACCTGGAGAAGAATCACAGATCCTCAGATCCTTTGATTAGTATGTTATGCCAAGTATTCATTCTCAATGGATAAAGGATGTCCTAAGTTGCATCCAAGTGTCCGAAACTAAACGCATTCTTCAGGATCATAGTAAAATGGACAGATTCTAAAAAGTTAAAACAATATTAAGAGGGAATATAGCTTAAAATCAGCTAATGTAGTACCCTCATTTAAGGAAACATTTTAAAGCCTTGATTATGCCATCATATCAAGAAAACTGAAATGAAAATAAAACTTCAAATACACAATAAAAACTGCTAAAATATTTTTGATCTAAAAGCTTTGAACATAAAGTAACACCACTACCAAAATGTGCAAACTATGTGCAACTGCTTTATCCGACCAGGTAGAATTTCAAAATAACCAACTCTTAACAATTCAACTACCTCCCATGAATTTTTGCAATAAGTCATCAATTACCCATAGTAAAACAGTAGGTTATCACATAACTCACAATAAAACTCAAACATATCCATGACACGTAACTGATATCATGGAATTCCTACCTTCAGTGCGAAGATCAACAATAAGCTCAGTAAACCCACCAGTCTGCACCAAATCCTTGTGCACAAGGAGTGTTTCCTAGATATACAAAAAGAAAAACACCAAAAAACTTGCCAAGTCATTAAAGACCAAAGTAGATGCGCAAATATTTACCCAGGCTCAAAATACATACCTATATTATACATGTAATGTACATAGCATTCAAAGAAGATGTCAGAAATAAAGTCGCAATGGAAACTAATATCAAATGAGAAAAGTTTAGATGGATGCACACGTACCATTGCATTGCAAGCTGCTGGATAATCTGTTTTTGCATCCAAGACAACTCGCTTTGCCATTTCCATATCAGCAGATTTATCGACAAAGACATGACAAATTCCATCTGAGTAGCAAAAGGAACAGCTTTACTAAGAAATCTAGAAATATTATGACAATAGAGTAAGCACCGTATTGGATGTGATCCAAATATCCATCTCACCAGCATGACCAAGAACAGGAATTTTAGTGGATGACTTGATTTGATAAACAAGTTTATTGCTGCCTCTTGGGATCACAAGATCGATAACATCATCAAGCTGGTGCAAGAAAATGCTGAGTTCTAATTTTTGTTTATGAGACTTCTTAAACTCTACATTTTTTATCTAGGAAGACATCTTTTAAGAAGATCTACCCACCTTAAGCAGATCAGGAATTTCATCTCTTGAAGCCACCAGCCCAATAAGTCTTCCACCAACGGTGTCTGGGATGGCTGTTGTGATTACCTAGATGATTAACAAGGGATGAGGAAACTTCAGACATAATCCGATTGATATTCTGAAATTTAAATTACCATTACAATTCAGTATTCTCCATAAATATATGTATTTAACAAACCACACCTTGTGCAAAATTGCATTCGACCTCCTTGCTTCCTTTCCTCCTTTCAAGAGGAGTGCATTCCCACTTCTGATTGCCAATGAAGCTATCTACTCAACCCATGTAAAAAGGATTACAGAAAGGAATAAAACAAGAAAATACTAAAATACAAATCTTGGATACCTGCACTAGCGCATCTGGTCGAGACTCAAAAACAACCAGGAGAACGCCTAAAGGAGATGAGGTTTTCTCTAAGAGCAGTCCGTCTGATAGCTGGATACATTAAAGTCATTAGAAACACCATAAATCATTGTATTCCAGATAATTTTTGTAAATGCAACATTA